CCTGATTTGGCATTCATTTATTGTGTTACTCAGAGTCTGTCTGCTTGCACTATTAATATACTCTATGCATACTAGAAGCTTCTGATCATACCAATGCAACCATCAAAAGAAGCAGATGTATCACATTACCTGGGTCATTATTATTCATGTGCCACGTATTTGTTAGGTGTGCCTGGCACTATGACTGAGCAAGAAGATGGAGGTTGACATACTCAGTGGAGTATTTTAAGGTATACTGGGAGAGGGGGCATGCATTGTTCCGACTCACAGAACAGAGGAGAGAAGAGAGCAGAATAGGAGCAAGAGAGGCCTTTCAGAAGCTCCATCTTAAGATGATATGTAGGTGACTGAAACTAGATCCCTATCACCCACATACAAAAATCAATTCAAAATGGATCAAAGACTTTAATGTGAGACCTGAAGCTTTGAAATTACTACTGGAAAATCTAGGGACAAACCTTGAAGATACAGCCTCCTGAGCAGCTAGAATTACAGGTGTGAGCCATCAGTTCCCGGTCGAATAAAACTTTTGTTTAAAAAAAAAGTGCCATTTTAACTGAACTTGGAAGATGAGATATCTCCAGATGAGGACATGAGAAAGAGAAGACCATCCCTGGTCAGTGACACAGGAGGGTCTCATTGATCATTTTCCCTCTTGGGAGGAATTAACATCACAGTGGTAACAAAGGCGGTTGGTGGGCACACTCTCATGTATGTGTAATGACAGTAAAGCCATGCGTTGTCTCCACAGTGACTTCTGACAAGTTCCATTATGTAATTGAGCTTCCTTTTTTAAAAAAAATTTGTAACACCAAAAGTGGAACAGGTGGTTTTTCTGTGTATACTTCCAGTTTTGTGTGAATATGTGAACAAAGTGCTACAGCCTCCTCATAATTATGTCATGAGAGAGAGAAAGAGAGTTTGTGTGTGTGTATGAGAGAGAGGGTTTGGTCTCTTTGAAAAATATGTTTCAGTATGCCTGGGGAGACAGCCTTGGAGAGTCCTCTTGGCAACCCAGCCCACCCTTCATCCTTTAGGACCTGCAGGGAAGGCCAGTGAGACTCTGCAAGTACAAACCCACTCTAGGTCTGAGCAGACCCTGGGGCCAAGGTAAACTCATTCTTTTGTGTGTGTGTTGGTTGGTTATGGGGTTTGAACTCGGGGCCTGGGTGCTGTCCCTGAACTCTTGCTCAAGTCTAGTGCTCTATCACTTTGTGCCACAGCTCTACTTCAGGTTTTCTGGTGGTTAATTGATGATAAGAGTCTCTCACAGACTTTCCTGCCCGGGCTGGCTTTGAACCGAGATCCTCAGATCTCAGCCTCCTGAGTAGCTAGGATTACAGGCGTGAGCCACCGGTGCCCGGCTTGTTTAGTTTTAAATGTAGAATAAGCAATGAGAAAATATAGTCAAGCACCTGTGCTTGGAATTAAAACACCAGATGGTTAATATTCGCTTCATATAATTTCAGTTCCCTTATTTTACAATTACTTAAAGACAATAAAAAGTTTTAAAAAATAATAAGAAAAATAAAAATGTGTCAAACAATGGAAAAATAATTTCAGTAGAAAGAACTGGATTATTATAGATAAAGACCATTTTTCCATCTTCAGTGGTATTACAAGTTCATTTATTGTGACTTTAGAAAGTGTCAATAAAAGGTTCATGTTAAATATTTTTACCAAAACAATGTTTTTGCTGTTATTTTGGAGATGAATTCTGGATTTCTCTGCCCAGACTGCCTTTGAAGCATGATCCTCCTGATCTCAGGTTCTTGACTAACTAGAATTATAGACATGAGTCACTGACACCTGGCTTTTTTATATTGGTATAAGTTGTTTTTCTATAGCAAACTTATTATGAATGAATGCAGAATAGAATAGAGGGTACATTTCTAAAGCGTGTTCTTGACAATAGCAATGAACACGGTACTTATTTTATCCTGACATGATTCCCTTGGTTCCTCTGTAATTCTGCCCCCTCCTTCCTCCTTGTCCTGTCTCCAGACAGTTCATGACTTCATTTAAGGTATATTAAATTAGTTGTAATTTTAAGAGAGAAAAGTAAACCGAACACCACCACTGTCCTCCCAGAGTTTTAATATGTTTCTTAACTCACCCCTGCCTCCCACTAGTCTACCAGCAAGCTCTATTGATCTATCCTGGGCCATCCTAGCCTCTGCTGAAGATTTATTCTCAGGTTCCTCCCTGCTCGTGTGTGTGTGTGTGTGTTTGTGTGTGTGTGTGTGTATGTGTGTGTGTGTGTGTGTGTGTGTGTGTGTCATGGGTCTTGAACTCTGGGCCTGGGCACTGTCCCTCAGCTCATCAGCTCAAGGCAAGCAACTCACCCCTGCCTCCCACTAGTCTACCAGCAAGCTCTATTGATCTATCCTGGGCCATCCTAGCCTCTGCTGAAGATTTATTCTCAGGTTCCTCCCTGCTCGTGTGTGTGTGTGTGTGTGTGTGTGTGTGTGTGTGTGTGTGTGTGTGTGTGTGTGTGTGTGTGTGTGTGTGTGTGTGTGTGTGTGTGTGTGTGTATGTGTGTGTGTGTGTCATGGGTCTTGAACTCTGGGCCTGGGCACTGTCCCTCAGCTCATCAGCTCAAGGCAAGCATTCTACCACTTGAGCCACAGCACCACTTCTGGTTTTCTGGTAGTTTATTGGAGATTAGCGTTTCACAGACTTTCTAGCCCAGACTGGCTTTGAACTGTGTGATCCTCAGATCTCAGCCTCCTGAATAGCTAGGATAACAGGCGTGAGCCACCGGCGTCTGGCTCCTGCTCTTCTCTTGAAATTCTTCCTTCCCCAGTTTTCTATACCACAAGATACTCCAGAACCAAAATCACTCATTTCTCCTAGAAGCCAGTCTGGTGTGTGTACTATTACTTAGGTGCCACTGTTGATTTTGGAATATTTCCCATTACAGGTATCCAGAGCACAATGGTGAGAAATAAGCTAGTCCTTTCTCTGTGGTATGTTCTTAATTTGATATGGTTAAGCCCATTTGTTCTTGTTTGCATTCCACCTGATATAATGGAATGTTGGTACTTTTTGTTTTATTTCTGGTTATAAAAACATTCATGTGGGGCTGGGAAGGTGGCTCCGTGGTAGAGCGCTTGCCTTGCATGCATGAGGCCCTGGGTTCGATTCCTCAGCACCACATAAGCAAAAAGAAAAAAGCCAGAAGTGGCGCTGTGGCTCAAGTGGTAGAGCTCTAGCCTTGAGCTGAAGAGCTGAGGGACAGTGCCCAGGCCTAGAGTTCAGGCCCCACAACTGGACCCAAAAAAAAAAAAACATTCATGTGATTCAGAAATCAAAATTGGACTCCAAGAAGAATTCATCAAGGTCTCCTACCTGCCCTTGGCCAATTAATAGCTTCATTCGTTTCTGGTCTATCCTTCCTTAATTTTCCTTCTTCGTTACTACACAACAGGTATCATATAATAAAATGTTTCTGCACTTTGCCTTTTCTCATCAAAATACATCCTAGAAATCTGTAGCAGGTATAGCAGGTCATCTTTAGTTGTACAGTCCTCCAGCATGTAGGTCTGACATAGTTTACCAAGTCCTTTGGTGACAGAACCTGAGGAGTCTGAAATCTTTTGCATATGTTGTTTTGGCATTTCCGGGGTTGTCTCCACAGAGTAGGTTTCTAGAAGGCATTCCTTTGGTCATGTGGCTTGTACTTGGCATCATAATGGTTTTGATATTTGAGAATACAGACCAGAGTTCCAAAGAAGCTGACCTTTCACACTAATCTCATGTTTTTCTCAGACTCCAAGAGTCCCCAGCTTCCAAGGAACATCCCTAGCATTGGGCAGAGGTCAGGGGGTTCCATTGAAGACAGAGTCCTGTCTGCCTTGTACTCTAGCCTTTCTTTTGTCCCCTTTGGCAGTAAGCATGCCTTCTTTTCTCCTCCACCAAGAGCTGCCTAGTGGATCAGTCGTGAAGGCAGAACAAACAGACCGCAGGCCACTGTTAGTTTCCAGGGCTCATTATTTTCTATTAAGGACCCTAAGAGTCAGAGAATGGAAAAGTTAGCCTTGTGCTGGAACAGGTTAGGGATAGCTACTTTACAGAAAGGATAGATACCCATCCTATCCTGCGAGATGCACCTGCATGTGGAATGGCTCTCAGTGTCCCCTAAAGCCCCACTCAGCCCTAAATTGCTAGAGGAAGAGAAGAAAAGTAGGAACTCGGGCCAAGTCACTGCTACCATGATTCTCAGAGTAAGAATGCCTCTGGGGTAGCCGTTGTTGAGATGAAGCAACTGAGGCTGTCACCTGTTGGGTCCATGGTTGGAAAGTGGCAAGGTCAGGACTTGAGCTGTGGGTTGGCTGGCTCTCACCCTGTGTGTTCTTTTCATGATGCTGTGCGGTGTGCATCTCGCCGAAGTGGTTGTACTGTTCTATGTTCTGATCAGCCAGTTGTGTTGTGCCCCACTGGTTGGGTTTTTTTTTTTAGCCAGTCAAATTTAGCAGTGGGGGATTGGTCGGGTTTTATTGAGCACAAATCTGCGTCTCAACAAACAGACATGAGAAAACCAAATATCCACATAAACCTAGCCCCTCCTGAAGGGCATTCTGGGTGGGCGGCTCCTTTTCAGCAATGGCGGTCCTGTGGTCATGTGGCCCAGGGGCCTTGAGGTGTGACTCAAAATGGTCTTTGCCAAAGTGATGTACTGAGAAGCCCACGCTGCTTGTACTAAGAAAGACACTTGCGCAGGTTACTCACTCTTGGGATACCGGGACAAAGAAGTCTCTGAGTGGTGTGGTACAGGTCAAGTGTCTTTGACCACCACCACCAATATCCGAAAGCTGGTAAAGAAACCTCTGGGTCCCAGCCTGGCCCCTAGAATGCATTGCCCTGGGAAAGTTACCAAGATTTGTGTCTGCAGCAGCCTGTGCCCTCGCCTGTGGTACTGTGCCCAAATCTGCCCATGCGCTCTTTTCTTCAGATTGGTATGTTCTCTGTGATGCTTACATGCTTGTTTAACACTTCAGGGAAGAAAAGTCGGAAGACCAGGACCTCCAGGGCCTCAAGGACAGACCCCTGAAGTTCAAAAAGGTGAAGAAAGATAAGAAAGAAGACAAAGAGGGCAACAAGCATGAGCCTCTGCAGCCGTCAGCCCACCACTCTGCCGAGCCAGCGGAGGCGGGCAAAGCGGAGACATCGGAAGAGTCGGGCTCTGCCCCGGCTGTGCCAGAAGCTTCTGCTTCCCCCAAACAGCGGCGTTCCATCATTCGTGACCGGGGACCCATGTACGACGACCCCACCTTGCCTGAAGGCTGGACAAGAAAGCTTAAGCAAAGGAAGTCTGGTCGCTCTGCTGGGAAGTATGATGTGTACTTGATCAAGTAAGTAAGGCCAAGTCCTGTGTGTGTAAGGTGGGAAGGGCCAGGTGGGTGGGGAGCCAAGGACATCCACTGGAATGGCAGCTCTTAGCTGCTCATTGATCCGAAAAGTATGTGGACCACCCTACCTGGAGCTACTTAGAGTGAATACTGAGACCAGATGTGCTTAGGGTGCCTGTGTCCAGGGTCTGGTGCTGCAGCCCTGCCTGGGGGTAGCAGGCCCTTTACCTTCACCACACCTCGAGGCCTTGTTTGGAGATGGAATGGCACTAGGACCTACTCTGATGTTATTTTCCTCTGCACATCAGTGGTGGGCCGAGTGTGCTGACAGGACCTCTGGGAAGAGAGACAGACAGGCTTCATGTGCCTTTGCCCCTGTCCCTTCTGCGTTTGTCTAGCTTTGGACTGACAGCTGCATGTTTTCCGTTGAAGCAGATTAGAGGAACAGTAAAACTGAACATCTGTGATCCCAGAAAGGCTAGTGGTTTTCAGAGTCTGTTTGTGGACAGTTCCTTTTCATTCCACAACTCTTAGAAGCAGGGTGAATGGAGCACTATTAACTCTGATTCCTGAGGAGGCTGAGCACTGTGTCTGAGTTCAGACAAGGAATATTTTGATGATGGATCAGGCCCAGGCACTGACCAGAAGAATGGGCCCTTGCCTGACAGCTCCCAGTGTACGAGGCCTGACCTCTTTGGTTGCTGGATTGTGGAAAAGACCCAGGGAATCTAGAGGTGCAGCCTGGGTGGCAGGCAGGTCCTTGTGGGCTTCCATGCAACAACTGACGAGCAGAAAATACTGAGCTGTTCCAGCACCCAAGCAGGCCGTTCAGGTGGCCACTGCCCCTGGTGGACCTGACTGCTGCAGTGCCTTATGTCTGACCTAGATGTGGCCATCCAGTGTTAGCCCATCTTGACTTCTCTTCATTGGGACGCGTGTATGAGAGGGCTCGCCAGCACAATCCACTCTGCCCCAGCTCTTGAAATTGCCATGGAAAGCCTCTTACTTTCTGTCTCTCCGTTTGTCCCCACAGTCCCCAGGGAAAAGCCTTTCGCTCTAAAGTGGAGTTGATTGCATACTTCGAAAAGGTAGGCGACACCTCCTTGGACCCTAATGATTTTGACTTCACGGTAACTGGGAGAGGGAGCCCCTCCCGGCGAGAGCAGAAACCACCTAAGAAGCCCAAATCTCCCAAAGCTCCAGGAACTGGCAGAGGTCGGGGACGCCCCAAAGGGAGTGGCACTGGGAGACCCAAGACAGCGGCCTCAGAAGGTGTTCAGGTGAAAAGGGTCCTGGAGAAAAGCCCTGGCAAGCTCCTTGTCAAGATGCCTTTCCAACCATCGCCTGGGGGCAAGGGCGAAGGGGGCGGGGCCACCACTTCGGCCCAGGTCATGGTGATCAAACGCCCCGGAAGGAAGAGAAAGGCCGAGGCTGATCCCCAGGCCATTCCCAAGAAACGGGGCCGAAAGCCCGGGAGTGTGGTGGCGGCGGCTGCTGCCGAGGCCAAAAAGAAAGCCGTGAAGGAGTCTTCCATCCGGTCAGTGCAGGAGACCGTGCTCCCCATCAAGAAGCGCAAGACCCGGGAGACGGTCAGCATCGAGGTCAAGGAAGTGGTGAAGCCCCTGCTGGTGTCCACTCTTGGTGAGAAGAGCGGGAAGGGACTGAAGACCTGCAAGAGCCCTGGGCGGAAAAGCAAAGAGAGCAGCCCTAAAGGGCGCAGCAGCGCCAGTGCCTCCTCACCCCCCAAGAAGGAGCACCACCATCACCACCACCACTCAGAGTCCCCAAAGGCCCCGACACCACTGCTCCCACTCCCGCCCCCACCCCTGCCTGAGCCAGAGAGCTCTGAGGACCCCACCAGCCCCCCTGAGCCTCAGGACTTGAGCAGCAGCGTCTGCAAAGAGGAGAAGATGTCCCGAGGAGGCTCACTGGAGAGTGATGGCTGCCCCAAGGAGCCAGCTAAGACTCAGCCCGCGGTCGCCACCGCCGCCACAGCCGCAGAAAAGTACAAACACCGAGGGGAGGGAGAGCGCAAAGACATTGTTTCATCCTCCATGCCAAGGCCAAACAGAGAGGAGCCTGTGGACAGCCGGACGCCCGTGACCGAGAGAGTTAGCTGACTTTACACAGAGCGGATTGCAAAGCAAACCAACAAGAATAAAGGCAGCTGTTGTCTCTTCTCCTTATGGGTAGGGCTCTGACAAAGCTTCCCGATTAACTGAAATAAAAAATATTTTTTTTTCTTTCAGTAAACTTAGAGTTTCGTGGCTTCAGGGTGGGAGTAGTTGGAGCATTGGGGATGTTTTTCTTACCGACAAGCACAGTCAGGTTGAAGACCTAACCAGGGCCAGAAGTAGCTTTGCACTTTTCTAAACTAGGCTCCTTCAACAAGGCTTGCTGCAGATACTACTGACCAGACAAGCTGTTGACCAGGCACCTCCCTTCCCACCCAGACCTTTTCCCCATGTGCTCATTAGGGATAGAGAGCCACTGAGAGGACACTCCCATTTTCGGTGCCATTGGTGCCCCGTCCACAGCTCCCCCTAGTATCCCCCCCCAACAACCACAGTGGGACAGGGAGGTGTGAGGCAAGAAAGACCGTCGGATTCTTTAGAGAAGACGGCGGAGAAGGCCAGTGTCTGTGGCCCACACGATCCCACCGTGGTGGCACAAGTCTGGCCCCATGCCAGCCCCAATCCAAAACTGACAAGGACATTTCACGGAACAGTAAAGTTGCACCTGTCTGCTCCAACTCTGACATGGCTAGGAAGGAGCCCTGAACTTCTGGGTGTAGACTGGCCTGGGCCATGGGAGAGGGTGGCCTAGGGTGAGGTGGCATTGCCCCTTATCAAGGCCTGTCTCCCAGTGGGTGGCACTAGAGAGAAGCCATGGAGGTGGCAGGGCGAGGCACAGGCAGGCTGGCCCAAGGCCATGTCCAGCCAACAGCAGGGTAAGAGAGATTCCTAGTTGGTCAAGAACAGTCTGTGACTAGTAGTTAGGGACTTAGCAGGAGGGACAAGGAAAAGTAGGGAGGAGAGGAAAATGTTCTTCCAATTACTTTCCAGTTCTCCTTTAGGGATAGCTTAGAATTATTTGCACTATTGAGTCTTCATGTTCCCACTTCAAAACAAACAGATGCTCTGAGAGCAGATTGGCTTGCATTGGTGACACTGTCCCGCAAGCCACCAGACGTGATGATGTTCAGAACTACCTGGATCTGTATATACCTGCGCTTGTTTTAAAGTGGGCTCAGCACATAGGTTCCCACGAAGCTCCGAAACTCTAAGTGTTTGCTGCAATTTTATAAGGACTTCCTGTTTGGTTTCTCTTCTGTCCTTCCATTTCTGCCAATCTTCATTTCTTCCCCTTCTTCTCTTCCCCCTACCTCCCAGTTCATGCCCTTCTGTTCCAGGCAGCTGCAGTGCCCAACCAAATGCTGAGCTGACCCCAGTAGCCTTCAGCCCTTAGGACTCTCCCTGCCCTACTGCCCACTGCCAGCACCAGTCTCACCATGTCTCAGCCCTGTGAGAGCCCTGGGCTCTGCTGAGTCTGCCCTGGCCTCTAGAGAGTGAGAGGGTCACTAGGTCTTGCTCTCCTAGGTCGCCCCTCTTCCCTGGTTTAAAAAAACAATTTAAAAAAAAAAGGTAAAAGGCTTTTCCGACCCCAAACAATGAGCCTTTCCACCCTTCTACTATCAAAAAATGGGGGTCAGGGAAGCTGGGCCACGTTTGGTAGCTGAAAGAGGCACAGAGCTCCCACTCAACCCCACCGTGGCCTGCCAGAGTTATTGAGTGCCGCCACAGGGGCCCCGCGCCCACCGTCCTTGTCCCACTGAGAAGTCTAGGATCTAGCACAGTGTAGCAGGGCAAAGGCAGACTCTTGAGACTGAGCTCTGGGAGTGGCAGCTGGGCTTCCCCCACCACCACCACCACCACCACCACCACCACTAAGTCCTTTCCTAGTGGAACGGTTTAGCTTTTGCTCCCTAGAGACGGGGTGGAGCCTGCACACCACGAGTTTCCATCACTGGTCTGTCTGTGTGGCATGGGGTTTAGACGCTTGGGCTTGCTGTGAGGTTTTCATTAATCAGTTTTCATTTGGGACCCCAAAGTTTTAACCTCCATTCAGGAAGTCCTTATCTAGCTGCATATCTTCATCATATTGGTATATCCTTTTCTGTGTTTACAGAGATGTCTCATATCTAAATCTGTCCAACTGAGAAGTACCTTATCAAAGTAGCAAATGAGACAGCAGTCTTATTCTTCCAGAAACACCCACAAGGCACGTCCCATGTAAGCTGCTGCCATGAACTGTCAAGTGCGTGTTGTCTTGTGTATTTCAGTTACTGCCCCCCAGCTTCCTTGCTACAGTGTAGTAGTCATGAAGGAGTGAAACATCATAGAAACTGTCTAGCACTTCTTTGCCAGTCTTTAGTGGTCGGGAACCGTAGTTGACAGTTCCAATCAGTAGCTTAAGATAAAACTGTGTTTGTCTCTTCTGGAATGGTTAGAAGTGAGGGATTTTTTCCCCCATTCTGTTTGTAGAGTCATAGTTGGACTTTCTAGCATATTTGTATCCATTTCTTATACTGTAAAAGCAACTCCTGCAAGCAGACTCCGCCAGCCAGGCCCCATCCCTTCTGCCTGCTCTGCTGTTGGTCCTCCGGTCTCACTTCTGACTCCTCACCAGGAAGGGAAGTGGGGATCACAGGAGAGTATTGGGAATCCAGAATGAATCCTTTGGAACTCTTCTTCCTCTAAGGACGAAAGGTCCCTGCTCTGCAGTGGCCTCACGCTGCTGGCAGCCCCAAAGGACACTAGTCCACACAAGCATGTCACCAAGAGATGTTTGTTGTGGTCAGCTGGGGGTTTTGTGAGCTAAACTTAGTCCAGTGAAATGTGGCTCCTAGGCTGGGTGCCATCTGGTCCTAGGAAGAAGAGTTTAGGGGCCACTAGCCCTTGTGCTGCCTGGGCTGCTTAAGCACTTGTGGTTAGGAGCATAGTGCTTCAGGTGGCATTTTCTTTCCCTTGGGCCTCGTCTGCAGCTCCTTTGATCCTCAGCTTTCCCTTAGAGTTGATTCCAAAACTGCAGATGGTACCTGCAGCTCTTTAGGGTTTTCTCCATTTCACTTTCTTCCCCATTCCATTTCCCCCAAAAATAGGTATCTTGAGTCAGTGGCCTTCAACCAGGCAGCTTTGGCCATTTATCACACTAGCAGCCAGGGGTAATGTAGCTCACGGGCTGTTTCTGCCTTGGGGTCGGGTTGACAAGAGGTTGGAGGGAAAGCCTTAAGCCATGGGATACTCACAAGCTGTGGCTGGCCCAGATTTGGGATGTGACCTGGATTTATTTGTATTCAAACATAATGAAGAATTTAGGAGCTAGCCACCAGCCTTCAGATACCTGGGGCTGGGTTGTTAAGGTCACATCCAGTCAGTGTCCCTAATCCTGGTCTAGTTGTTAGGTACTACCTCCTCTCCCAACAGAAAGCTATATGTCCTCCAACTCCTCCCAGGTATCATCGTGCTGGTCTGGCCCTGTTCTGCCCTGCCCTGCCCTGCCCTGCCCTGCCCTGTCTTGCTCTCTAGTGGCTCTGTCATATAATCAGCGAAATTGTCAGCCTTCACAGTGCAGTGAGCTGGGTATCCTTGGCCATGGCCAGGCTCTGGGACAGCGCCTTTTTACTGGTACTGTATTCCTATAAGAAAAGGCACAGGGAACACTTGGAAATGCCACCTCCCCCAAGTCTCTCATTGCCAAACTAGCCAAGGATGCCAGTCTTAGCTAAAGGGATGGTTAAAAACTATGACCCTGGTATGGGTACAGACAACACAGTGGTAGCATTCCAGGCTAGAGGCCACAAGCATTGGAAATGGGAATCAAAGCCGCACCCAAATTGTCGCCTGTTTCTGTACCCAGCGTGTCATTTACTGTTGACAGTGATCATGAAAAAGGGTAAAAACCAGAAGCAGACTACGAAGTTTGGTGGCGGGAGGAGTTTCCTTAGCTGACAAGACCTCTGGATTTTAAATAACTTTTACTAAGTGGCTTAAGCCCAGGAACGAACAAAGGGGTATGAACTGGATTCACCAGGTGGGACCAAGTGCATTTTATTCAGCCCAAGTTGAAGCTCCCAGAGCATTCCGGACAAGCTCTCTGGGCTGACTGAGCTAAAGGAGATCACAGGTCCTGGTCCTTTTGAGAAAACCTTTGCGTATCTCTCATTGTAGCCTGAATCTTTGCCCCAGATTATGTCCTGATTCAGTTGCTCAGACCTAGAGATTCTAGGAGTTGTGGCGTAGACTTTGGGAAGGAAGCGTTTTCTAGAGCTCCTATACGCCGTGATAGAGGTAGCAGAGTGCCCAGTTGAAGAGGGCCTGGGGAAGTAGGGATTGGGTCAAAGCCAGGACAGATGCAGCAGAGCCCCAAGCCTGGGCTAAACCCTCTGCTTCCTCTGTGTCCTCTTTTCACTCTTCCTCCCTGCTCTCTGCTTCAGTGAACCAGCTCTACTCTGAAGGGATTCGGTGATTCTCTCCATTTTGGTGTCTTTCTTTCTCTTTTAGATACTCTATCAATCTTTAGAAGAAGCTTAGTCTAATTGTTATAAATCGCTAGGATACTGCCTCCCCCAGGGTCTAAAATTACATAGCGAAGGGGAAAAATTGAACACTGAAACCAATTCTCAACAATTTAGAAGGAAAACCTTGAAAACATTTAGCAGAAAATTACATTTTGATGTTTCTGAATAAGAGCAAGCTTTTGCAAAAATGCTAATCTAAAAATACTTAATGCTTGGCCTAAGATATCTGGTGAGTGTTACTGGCAAAAGGAATTCCAGTCTGAAGCCTCCTGCATCTGAGGTAGAACGAGGGACCGCTTGAGGTTCTGGGTCTTTTATCAAGAGAACGCCATTCAATTGCTTGGGGAGCAGTCCCCAAGGACGTAGCTTGTGACCCTGTTTGTTATTGGGGTGGTATGGAGGCTGGTAGCCTGACTGGTCCCAAAGCTACAAGAGGCTTTCTCTGTGTGTAGAGAGTAGAACATTCACCGATGAGAGGGAAAGCTTGGCACCACACCACTTCCCGCTCTCTGGCCTCCTGCGCTGGGACCTCCCTTCCACATGCCTCCTATTCTGCTCCCCTTAGAGAGGTCTTGGGTGCAGATGAAGTGGCTGTGTGGCAGGCACCCCAGCATTCCATTCTGAACTTGCTCCTCCCCCCAGAGCCTCTTGCTGCCTTTCCAAGCCATCTGCTTGCCCTCTTGGGAGGCAAAAGAACCTCTGGGGTGAAGGAGTGAGGGCAGACCCCTCCCCACCCCCCCAGGCTTCACCCAGACCAGGCCTCAGATCCTCACAGAACAAAGTCTAGCCTTTGAATCCACGAACATTTGCAAATGGCCTTTGCCCTTCACTCTTCCCTCCCATCTTACCTTTTATCAGGTCCTGCTCAGCAGTGAGAGCAGATGTGGTTTAAAAAAAAAAAAAAAAAAGGCCGTGAGGGTTGGCTCCTGCCCACTGATAGTCCCTCTCCCCGCAGTGTTCGTGTGTCAAGTGGCAAAGCTGTTCTTCCTGGTGACCCTGATTATATCCAGTAACTTATAGACTATACACATAGGCCTGCTTTATCTCCTCTATCCTGGGCTTTTGTTTTGCTTTTTAGTTTTGCTTTCAGTTTTCCTGTCCTTTTTTATTTTGTGCACCGACTAGACACACAAAGCAGTTGAATTTATATATATATATATAAATATATCTGTATATTGCACAGTTATAAACTCATTTTGCTTGTGGCTCCACACAAAAAAGACCTGTTAAAATTATACCTGTTGCTTAATTATAATATTTCTGATAATCATAGCATAGGACAAGGGAAAATAAAAAAAAAGAAAAAAAAAAAGAAAAAAAAAGACAAATCTGTCTGCTGGTCACTTCTTTGGTGCAAGCAGATCCGTGGTCTTTTCTCGCTTCTTTCAAGGGCTTCCCTGTGCCAAGCGAAGGAGGCTCCAGGCAGCACCCAGGTTTTGTACTCCATTTCACCTGTGCTTGTTGAAGGGGTCCCAGATTCTGGGTACAGAAGAGTTCACCTCAGCAGGTGGATGCAGGAGTACTCCCTTGACCTGCTGAAGTCAACTTCGTGGGCACAGCCTGGTCCCCTTCATCTCGGGGCGGGGGGGAAGCTGGAGGGCACAGGGTGGGGTGATGCCCCAATCCTTCCAGTGATCTGGTGAGGGTAAGCCCATGTGCAGCTGGCCTGAGAGGCCTCCCCAACACCCCTACCGGCGAGGCTCAAAGCATCTCACCCTGTCCACTTTGCCCGGTCCAGGGGCTGGAGGGGAGATGGGAGACCTAGCCTAACTCTAGACTGGTGAGCTACACCAGGTAGAATGCTAGACACCCCAGAATCACATACGACAGTCCGGTAGGTCCCATCCAGGAAGTAGCAAAGACTCCAGAAACATCCCTTTCTCTTCTCCCCATTCCCATAAGTAATTGCATTTGCTTTTGTAATTCTTAATGAGCAATATCTGCTAGAAAGTTTAGCTGTAACAGTTCTTTTTGATCATTTTTAAGTCATTCAAAACACCAAAAAAATAAATTCCAGAACTTGTTCTTCCAAAGCAGAGAGCATTATAATCACACCAGGGCCAAGATCTGTTTCCCACCCACCCACCCACCATCGCTTCTTCTGAGGCCAGAATCCAATTGAGACAATTGTAGGCCCTCAGAGTGGCCCGACTCCTCTTGGGCATGTTGGAGGACTTAAGGCTGGGGCAGCCTCTGGGTCCACGTTCCTCCAGAGTCTGCTCCAGTGCGCGATCAGTATTAGTAGTAGATCGCGACATTTCTTTCCCAGCCAGCCTGGTATGGAGGCAAGAGGCTATTGTTGCTGATTTGTCAGCCACTGACCCGATGGGTGACCACATGTGTCCCCCATTCTTTCTGACTGACCTGAAATCAGCACCCAAAGTTAGCCTCATGGGTTGCCATCTAGCCCCGCCCAGTTCAGTGTTTCTGAGAGAGCTGGACAGTGGAGTACAAAGGCTTGCCGAACTTCAAGCCTGCTCCTTCCCTTGCTACTACCATGGCCTCCTTTTCCATTTGATTTGTCACTGCTTCAATCAATAACAGCCGCTCCAGAGTCAGTAGTTGATGAATATATGACCAAATATCACCAGGACTGTTACTCAATGTGTGCCGAGCCCTTTCCTCTTGCTGGGCTCCCCGTGTACCTGGACACTGTAATGTGTGCCGTGTTTGCTCTCCTCCTCTTCCTCCTCCTTTCCTTGCCCTCGCCTTGTCTTTCTGGGGTTTTTCTGTTTGGGTTTGGTTTGGTTTTTATTTCTCCTTTTGTGTTCCAAACATGAGATTTTTCTCTACTGGTCCTTTTAACTGTGGTGTTGAGGCTTATATTTGTGTAATTTTTGGTGGGTGAAAGGAACTTTGCTAAGTAAATCTCTTCTGTGTTTGAACTGAAGTCTGTATTGTAACCCTGTTTAAAGTAATTGTTCCAGAGACAAATGCTTCTAGACACCTTTACCAACAAGGAAAGCGTTTGGAGGGAGGGGGATGGCAACCGAAACAAGAGGGGTGATCTGAAAAGATGACCCTTGCCCTGATCAGCCAGAAACCGCCCAAAGAGGGAGTCACGTCCCAAGCCACAGCCGCTCTGTGGCCGTTTTCAAAGTCACAGCAAAACCAGTTTGGGTTCCACCCAGTGGATCCTTCCAGCTCCACACCCCTGGATTCTTAGCATCATTGTTTTTGAGGAAAGACAAAATTGATGCTCCTTGAGAGCCAGGGGAGGATGGGAGAGTAGAGCTTCTGTGTCATCGCTGAAGAGGGTGGGAGGGAGGGAAGAAGAGATTACTTAGGCCTGAGCTTGGAGTCAGATGCCTCACTGTGGGGCACAGGTGAGGCCAGTGGGCTGGCTACTTCCTACCTGATGTACCTTTTCCTGGACAAAGCCAGACAGTAGGTATTATTATCTCCAAGGCATGCTGTGGGGAGGGGAGAGAGCATTACTATCAGGACACTTCTGTCACACCCCATCCTATCCCTGCATACACATCACTAATGAGATATCTCCATTCCCCACTATCCCAGGGTTATAAAATGACAGCAGAGTGTCTCTCTCTCGCCTCCCCCCTACACTTCTCTTTCACTCTCTCCCCACCCCTCCTCTCTGCTGTCATCTAATCCCCAGCAAAATTTGGATATGAGACACTCCCTTCTCTTTCCATGGCAAACAGATCCTTCGCAATGAAGTACAGATTGTTCTGGGCTTGTGGAACAGGGACAGAGCTGTGCTCCCTTATTGCCTCAGGCGAGGAAAGTGCTATGTGTAGTGATCACTTGCACGTGGAGTAGAGTCCCTGGAAGAATCAGGCAAGGTGTCTGCCCCTCCCAGTCCAAGTCCTGCTCCCTTCTGCCAGCCTGAAGGCTGAGACCTGTGGGCCAGTGCTGCCAGTGACAGGCCGCCCCGTGCTGAAAGCTGGCTCCAGCCTGGAAGCCTGTGTGAGGTTGAGCTGGGCACGTAGGGCATGGGGAGAGACCCGGGACAGACTTAGCTGGAGGGGTCTTTAAAAAGCCCTCTGTTGCATTCACCTTCGGTTTTTGTGTTTTGGGACAATTACTTTAGAAAATAAGTAGGTCGTTTTAAAAACAAAAATATTGATTGCTTTTTTGTAGTGTTCAAAAGGTTCTTTGTGTATAGCCAAATGACTGAAAGCACTGATATATTTAAAAACAAAAGGCAATTTATTAAGGAAATTTGTACCATTTCAGTAAACCTGTCTGAATGTACCTGTATACGTTTCAAAAACACCCCCCACTGAATCCCTGTAACCTATTTATTATATAAAGAGTTTGCCTTATAAATTTACATAAAAATGTCCGTTTGTGTCTTTTGTTGTAAAATCAAGTGGTTTTTCATAAGGTTCTTTTACTATTTGAAAAGATGGGCAGCACGCAGTTTTATTTTATTTTTGTAAGTTTTTTAATACATGTGAAAGCAAAGAATACTCAGCATGCCTTTCTAAGTGACGCGTTTGCACCTTTTGTTGGGAAGTACTGTATCCTGTGCTGTTAGCATTCTCGATAAACCTCTCTGTGAAAGTGACTCAAGGTCTGGGCTTTCATTGTAAGTCAGCAGTCCCCTCCAGTTCACCTGACAGCATGCTGGTGCACTTGATCGTTTGATCTGGCTGCTTCTGAACGTGGCTAGCCACTGTCAGGACAGCGGAGGGCGGGAAGGGAAACCGGCTTCATGTGCTGGCCTCCCTGGCATCCTTAGCCTGCTCCACGTCAGTGCTTTCCAGACACACTGCTCCAGCACATGATGGGGAGGGCCTAGTACTAATATGCCTGCAGCACCACTATCTTCTTCCTGACCAGTATGGTAGGGGCACCTCCTAGGTCCTGAGATGTTGTGATGTTTTTGTGTGCACTCCCCACCCCCCTGCCCAGCACTGACTCCTGTGCTCCATACTAGTCAAAAACATTCGCATGGCCCTTCTGATGTCTAACCAGCCTTTCCCACTGGGCAAGTGCATGCTGACAGACTTCCCAAAGAAGGCTCTGTTGTCTCTGACTTCTCAGGCGGCCCCTCATGCCACAGTTGTCCTCATTAGGCTTGTGCTGGGCTGCAGTCAAGGAACATGCACAGATCAGAGGGACTGTGAACTGATTCAGTCTGGGTCACATGCAAATGTAGGCACACCTACAAGAAGCTTCCCTCTCACTCCTGCCTTTGAATGTTAGATGAAAGTGTTGGAAACTCAACCTGTAGATAATTGGGCATCTGTGTGCTAGGTCTGATCCAGGAGCAGATGTTCCTCGATGCATGAGGAGGACCATGTGTCTGCTTTGTAGAACTTAGCATGTGTGCACATGAAAGTCTCTCTAGTTGGCCTCTCCCAGTAAAGGCTGTCCCATAAGCCACTAGGGCTATCAGGGAAGAGGCCCAAGTAGGAGCTGGTTATAAGTCTGGGATGGACCTTTTTTCTGGAATCAGTTGTAAGTCTCTGAGAGGACATGTTAGTGGGAAGGAACCGTTTGCAGTTGGAATGGAGAGGGAATGAGGAACTGTCAAAGGAGACCACCTGTTGCTGCCTGCGAGTCTTTCCCACTCAATAGGGGAGTCAGACAAATGAAGGGGCTTGGACTCCCACCAGCCCAGTGTGCATGAGTTGGAGTTCAGCCTTGCCTAGTAAGGGCTGCTCAGGTGACACATGACAACTCCTGGCTTCAGGGACAGCATACATTTCAGCACACCTAATGAGTGGCTTAATGCAACAGAGGGCCGGACTTGACACGTGCTGGCAGAGGCTGCTTCGGAATGGCCCTGTAGGCCCCTCTAAAGAGCTAGGACTCCATAGGAGGGCTTGGGAAACTTGGGCGATTTTCTCCAGCAAAGTGCTGTGTGATTTGTGCCCAAGAAGATCATCTGAGCATTGATCCTGTGTGCAAACCAGTGTATTCATGCAGGTAAGAATGGTTAACAGCAAGTGGTGGGCTCAGGGAGAAGTGGGGTACTCCAAAGAATTCAGTAGTGACTGATAAGATGTGGGTTATAGAGTGTCCAGGGCTGGGAAGGTGGCTCAGTGGTAGAGCGCTTGCCTCGCATACATGAGGCCCTGGTTCGATTCCTCAGCACCACATAAGCAGAAAAAGCCAGAAGTGGCACTGTGGCTCAAGTGGTAGAACACTAGCCTTGAGCTGAAGAGCTGAGGGACAGCACCCAGGCCCAGAGCTCAGGCCCCACAATCGACAAAAAAAAATGTCCACAAGAGCCAAAGAAATGCATACATAGCTGGAGGACATTGGGGGAGTGGGAAAGAGAAACCCAGGAGGCCAAGAAGTAAACAGGTTGTGTCCTGAGCTTGGTAATTGACAATTCAAAACAGAGGGTAGAAGCTAGGCTGGTGGCTCAGGCCTGTTAATCCAAGCTACTCAGGAGGTTGAGGTATGAGGATCAAGAAATGAAGCCAGCCAGGACAAATGAATCCACAAGACTCTTTGTCTCCAATTAACCAGCAAAGAGGTGGAAGGAGAGATGGGGCTCAAGTGGTAGAGCACCAGGTGTAGAGTAGAAAAAGCTAATGCCCAGGTCTTGAGTTCAAGCCCTAGGAGCTGCAGAAGGGGGGAAAAAAAGGGTGGGTGAAACTGCTGGACCCTGATGAACTCACAGAGGAAGTTAAAACTGAGCCACTGTGACACAAAGAGAAAGGGACAGCAGGAGCTGAATGTCCTACATATGGGGGTGAAGCAAAAAAACTTTAAAACTTGGGAGGGGGAGCAGCTCACACCTGTAATCCTAGCTACTCAGAGCTGAGATCTGACGATCACGATTCAAAAGACAGCATTTAGGAAAGTTCATGAAACTCATCTCCAATTAACCACCAGAGAGCCAGAAGTTCAGCTGTGGCTCAAGTGGTAGAATGTTAACCTTGAGTGAAAAAGCTCAGGGACAGTAGTACTGAGGCCCAGAGTTCAAGTCTCAGGACCAGCATAAATAATAATAATGACTTAAAGCTGGGCACCAGTAGCTTACACTTGTGATCACCCTCAGACGGTTGAGATCTGAGGATTGTGGTTCCAAGCCCCAGCAGGAAAATCTCTGAGACTCTTACCTCCTATTAACCATCAAAAAAAAAAAAAGGCAGTGGAGCTGTGGCTCAAGTGCGAGAGTGCTAGTCTTGAGCAAAACAATCAAGCTCAGGACAGTGCCACCAGCCCTGATGTGTTCAAGCCCCAGGACCAGATGTTGGTGGTTCATGCCTGTATTTCTAGCTATTCAGGTAGATGCGATCTGAGGATCACAGTTTGAAGCCAGCCCAGGGAGGAAAGTCCATGAGACTCATCTCCAATTAACCACCACCTACAAAAAAAAAAAGGTCAGAAGTGGATGTATAGCTCAACTGGTAGAATGATTGCTCTAAGCAAAAAAGCTCAGGGACAGCTACCAGGTACTGAATTCAAGCTCCAAACCAGGCAAAAAAAAAAGTGGGGGGTGGGGGTACTGGTGGCTCACATCTGTAATCTTTGCTACTCAGGAGGCTGAGATCTGAGGTGCACGGCTCAAAGCAGCCCAGACAAGAAAGTCCGTGAGAGAGACATATCTCCAATGAACCACCAGAAAACTGGAAGTGGCGCTGTGGCTCAAGCGGTAGAGCACTTGCCTTGAGCTGAAGAGCTAAGGGACAGCGCCCAGGCCCAGATTTCAAGCCACAACAACAACAACAAAAAGAATGCCAGAAGTGGAGGTGTGGCTCAAGTGGTAGATCGTTGGCCTTGAACCAAAAAAAAAAAACTTATGGACAGTGCCTAGGCCCTGAGTTCAAGCCCCAGGACTGGGACCAAAAAAAAAAGGGGGGGGCTGGGAAGGTGGCTCAGTGGTAGAGCGCTTGCCTTGCATGCATGAGGCCCTGGGTTGGATTCCTCAGTGCCACATAAGCAAAAAGAAAAAAGCCGGAAGTGGCTCTGTGGCTCAAGTGGTAGAGCACTAGCCTTGAGCTGAAGAGCTGAGGGACAGCGCCCAGGCCCAGAGTTCATGCCCCACGACCAGATCCAAAAAAAAAAAAAAAGAAAAAGAAAAGAAAGTGTATCCATGTGGTAGTGAGGAGCCTGCAAAGAAGAAAAAGTATCAGGTGGCAGAAACAGTATCCAGGACATTGGCCTGGTGTGTGGTGTGCAAGTTTCCAGATCTTCTGTGCATTCAGCACTAACCACAGCCAGGCAGTCAGGGAGGCTTTTTAAGACCCACACCGGACCCTATCCTGTCTAGAATTCTGACTTTCCACTGCCTGCTAAGTAAAGCCAAACTTCTCCACAGGGCCTCTCATTGGCTTTCCCCAGGTTTGGCATTAAGGTGCCTTTCTGGAACATTCTGTGCCTTCGCTGTGCCCTTTGACCTCTAAGCCGTTACCCATCCTTCAGCTGTCCATTCTGACCATTCCCCCGCGGTGGAGAGCCGAGACCCCCGGCCAGCACGGTCGTTACATCGCGCGGGGTCCCCATTTTAGCCAGGGCTCCTTCCACCACCACCCCTCTGTCCCCCGCTCGGCAACCGAGGGCGGCACGTGACGCCCCCGTGTGGTCGAGGGGCGAGGCGCGTGAGGCTGGCAAGATGGCAGCCGATCGGAGCACCGCCCCTTCCGTCTCGCCGGGCGTCGCACGAGGCTAGCTTGAAGGGGAAGTGAGTCAGTGTCCGCCAACCCAGCCGGCTCAGGCCCGCGTCCGCCGCGGCCCCGAGAGGCCCCGGCCTGGCGGCGGCCATGGCCGGGGGGCCGGGCCCGGGGGAGCCCGCGGTGCCCGGCGCCCAGCACTTTCTGTATGAGGTGCCGCCCTGGGTCATGTGCCGCTTCTACAAAGTGATGGACGCCCTGGAACCCGCGGACTGGTGCCAGTTCGGTGGGTGGCAGCGGGCAGGCGGGGCGCGGGGGGCGGCGGGGGCGCGGGATCGGCACGGCGGGGCCTGATGCACCCCGCCCCGCAGCGGCCCTCATCGTGCGCGATCAGACGGAGCTGCGGCTGTGCGAGCGCTCACGGCAACGCACGGCTACCGTCCTGTGGCCCTGGATCAACCGCAACGCGCGCGTGGCCGACCTCGTCCACATCCTCACGCACCTCCAGCTGCTGCGTGCGCGAGACATCATCACAGCCTGTGAGCGCGCGCGGCCCCGGGGGCCCCGGGGGCCCGGGGGATGGGGAGCCGTGGGAGGGGACCCGCACCGAAGCCAAGGAACAGATGGCGGGACTCCGCGGGCTCCTCTGCCACCTGAGCCTCAACTTTCCTTTCCTTCCTTGGCGACCCAGGGCACCCTCCTGCCCCCCTCCTTCCCCCAAATGCCACTGCTCCCAGGCCCAGCATCGTTTCTGCCCCCTCCGAGGCCAAGTCCTGGAGTCCCCGGAAGTCACAGCCCTCCACCTCCACCCTCCTCTCCCCAGGTAAGAGGGCCCAGGTGTTCGGTTTCCTGGTTGGTTGCCATGGCTTTAGACTGCGCCGCTGGGCGCTGGCCAGTCTCTCACGCGCTTTTTTTTTTTTCTTTTCTGAAGATGTTCCAGGCTTCCAGACCCACTCAGGGCCTGATGTCTGCCCCGTCCCAAGCTTTGCTTCCC